TATTATGCAAAGTGAAATAAGTCAGTCACAATAAGATAAATACTGTATGATTCTACCTACATGTGAAGTACCTAGAGTAGTCAAATTAATTGAGATAGGAAGTGGAATGCTGGGTGTCAAGGGCTGGGGGGAGGGAGGCTGAGGAATCGTTGTTTAATGGATACAGAAATAGTACCAGTTCTGCAAGATGAAAAGAATTCTGGAGATTGGGTGAACATCAGTGTGAATGTAGTTAATGCTAAACTGTACAGTTAAAAATAGTTAAAATGGTAAACTTTATATTATGCATATTTTACTTCAGTTGTTTAAAAGACAATAATTTTAAGAGGTTTTAATGTAGTCCTCAATGTTTTAAAAGTTTTCATTTATTTTAAAGGGACAGGAAGGGAAGGAGAAAAAGGGGAATAAAAATATCCATGTGCAGTTGGTTGCCTCTCACATGCCCCCAAACTGGTACTTGGCCCATAACCTAGGCCTGTGCCTTCACCAGGAATCGAACTAACAATCTTTCAGGTCACAGGCTGGCATTCAATCCACTGATACACTAGCCAGGGCTCGAACTTTTTTCTCTACTTTATGAAGTCATGTGGTCCACTGTACAATTTTTTAACTAGAATACCCTTGGTATTATAACATCAATAATACATTTTCTTTTTACAATTAGAAATGTCATTTCTCCCAGTGACCCTCATTACCTGTCATCAAGATTGTATAAACAGGGTTATGGAAAGGTTAAAAGAGGCTCTGGAACTTACCCATTTGCCGAAACATGTAATGTGTGTATCGGTTTTCTCCGAACTTGGCCATGGTAGAGTACAGAATTCAGGAACTTTGTCACTGTCTTTTCTTCAGTGTGTTTTCTTCATTAGTGTTTGTTTCTGTCAGTCACTGTCACATGGCACTTCCGGTCTTATCCTTGCCTAGCAAGGTTAAGCCAGTTGATCTGCATTTCTGATCAGCTTTATTTTCCACAGACTTCCCCGATGGCCACAGCATGAACTCTAGAGTGTGTGTTAGAAACTGAAAAGAAGCTACAAGGTATTTTATTTGTGTTTTTATCCCCATTTTCAGTAGTTTTCTGAGGGGCAAAAGTATGTTGGATCCTCTGAAAAAATATAGTAGGGCAAAAGAAAAGCTGCTTTTATCCTTACATGAAACAAATTTCAAAGTATAATCTTATTGATGACATCTGCCTTTTGTGCTCTCTCCACACCAATCTATTTAGTGGTTCTTTTTATCCACTTTTTAGAATATATAGTAATTAAGTGTTCTGTTACTCTTTGCTGTGACATATTCTGAGCTAATATGGGAAATTGCTATGATCGATTTGATATTTTAGGAGTTTTTGCATTTTGTATCAGGTGTTAAAATGAGGAGAGATGATGCTTGATTTTACTCTGAATTATTTCCTGTTGGATAGATATATGTCCAGTAGATACGCTGATGATTGAGCTCAGATCATAAAAGAAACAATTACAAATCTCTGAACTAACAGTGGTTCTTTGCCTGCTGTACAGAGGATAACTGCTGCCTAAATGTCCTTTCAGAACATCGTTGTCCAACTCCTTTGTCCACCTCAGTGTATACATGATATTCTCAGTGTTTGGAGATAGATATACTGACAGACCACAGAGACCTTTATTTAGCAAATTTTAATAACTACAGGAGACTGAGTTTTTCCCACAAACTAAAGTCCACAGCCTTCTAATGGTTTGTAGGACCTTAATCTTCTACTGAGTTAAGAGGTTCTGAGATAAGTAACTTTCCAGAGCTCATCTTTGGGAACATAAAGACATACCACCCGCATATCACACACAGTTGGTTCTGGCTGTGAAACCAAATGGCTGCTCCTGCCATAGTGTAGGGTTGGAGAGGGGAGAGGGAGAGATCACTGACACGAGGAGACGGGGAGCAGGGAAGGAGTGAGACCGGGCGTGTGGCTGTGCGGCCAAGTCCTTTCTCGTAAGTTCACGGACTAGGGAAGAGGCTGGGCTCCAGCCCCAGGGAGGACTCAACGTGGAAGTTCTTATCCGTCAGGGGACGTAATGGTGCAGCCTGGATGATTTTTTCAGTAATGTCAGTGCTTTGTATTGAAAGGGGTTCAGGTTATGAAACTCGGGTTTGGGATAAAGAAAAGGGCCACCAGAGACTGGAGCCCACAGGAGCACAGACTGAATTCCAGGGGAGCCAGCTGGAATTAAGAGCTAGGATCCTGCCTCCAAAGTGAACTTTGAGAATGAAGATTTGGATACCTGAAGACAGAGGATGGTTTCAGAGTCCACAGGCAAACACACGAGGATGCCCGCTGTTCCCTGATCTAGCAGGGAGGTTGCAGGTAGAACATCATTACAGGTAGCTGGAATGGGATTAGGACAGGTTTGGACTTTCATGAGGCAGTACGAGGAGAACTTGAGGGAAGGTATGGACTCGATTCTTTTTTTCCTCCCCTAGGCTTTTCCCCACTGTAGTCAGGCCACTTGACTCCCACCTGAGGTCTAACTCCATCTGAATTCCAAGGCCCATTTTTGACTTGCAAGAAGATGTCACTCTGGGAAGGGGTATCTTGACACAGCCCCAAATCATTTTTGCCAATTAGGTGGACATGACTTCTACTTCTGATGACTGAGCTTCACTGTCTTAGTAATGTTCTGGAACCCCGTTGTTTTATTTTCAGACCCCCATTATTTATCTCACAATTATTCATTGAACACCTACTATCTACTAGGTGTACGGAATAATAACAATCTCTCCTGCTCAGAGGTCCCACTATCTGCTGCTGGTTTCCTTATGCTGAAACGGATTCATCTGCCTTGGCTGCAAGGCTCCTTGCCTCTGGGTCCCTTGCAGATGCCTGTCCATCCAGATGTTGTCTTTTAGGTTTTCTGCATTTATCCTCCTGACTGTGTTGTCCTCCTCTGCTCTGGCTCCCTGACTGCGCTTCCAGCACTGGCTTTGCCCCACTCCCTCACCCCATCCCCCACCTCCGGGAGCACATGAGCTTGCAGGACGCAGTCTCTCCAGGTTGGCCCCATCAGCCTAACGAACAGGGTCCAGGAAAAGACAGTTCTAGGAGGATGATAGTTTTCCCGTGCAGTGTCATGAGAAAAATGTGTCGGCTGGAGACACATCTAGAATCAAATCCGGCCAGACCATTTGGCAGGTAGCCCAAAACAAGTTTCTTCAGCTTTCCGAGGCCCAGTGTCACCGGGTGTAAGCAGCTCCCGGTAGTCGCTTCCCTCGCAGGGTTCCTGGGAGGTTTGCGTGAGATGCTGCGTCTCAAGCCTCTGACACGCAGTGGGTGCTCAGTGATGGTTCTCTTCCCCTTTGGACAGCTTCATTATCTAGTTTTCTTTTTTGAATTAATTGGGGTGACACTAGTTAGTAAAACTGTATAGGTTTCAGGTATATAATTCTGTAATACACCATGGGCATCTTGTCTGTTTTGATAATGACAACAACTGTGGAGAGAGGACAGGACAGGGACAGAACGGCCCCTCGGCAGGCAGGGGGAGGGGTGCGCCACTCCCGTCAGGTGGCTGCTTGTCTGAGGAGCCAGGACTTCCAACTGAAGGTACAGAGTTTTTTTGTTTTGTTTTTGCCATTAGATGATGATGATTTTACCTAAAAACTGTGATTTTTGCAAGAAAACTTCTACTACTACTTATATTTATTTTTAAAAATGTTGGTCCGCGTGGCTAAATAGCTTGGTGTTCTTTTCTTTTTGCTCAGTTCTGGCCGCCGATCTTTTCTTGTTAAGTTGTTCATGCTGCATATAAATGCCGTGTGGGGAAAAACAACAAACCCTTGGCCATAACCAAAGCGTGCTTAGTTTTCACCATGTATCAGGCCCTGGAGTATTTTAAATGTTTACCCCTTGACATCTCTCATCCACATTGTCAGAGAACTTGCAGAGGCCCAGGTCTGCAGAGCTAGTAAAGGGCAAATTATGCGTTATGCACCCAAGCCTAAAACTGCTTATTTTCTTAATGACCTCTTTATGTGCTTAGTATACTTTTAATTTATTGCCCTCTGTCTTAGCCATTTATACTGGCAAATTAAATATCTGTTACACCAGCATGGGCTGAAGGGGCAGAGCCGGCACAAAGCACAAAGAGGACTTTGGATTTTCAAATTACTGTCAATAGGGATGAACTCAGAAATCTGTCGTTCTGCAACCTTGGACTCACAGGGTGACTCGGAGGGCAACACCGCAGAGCCAGGAATTGGAGAATGATTTGCAGGGAGTGGGGCTGACCTGGGCTACTATAATCATGATGGCGGTCCTGCCCGGGCAGTAACACTGTCAGATTGATGGACAGAGAGGGAAAGGAAGGCTGAATATATTTATCTCAGGTAACACAGTTATATATAAAACCCCATTTAACTTATCAATAAATTATTTGGTTTCAAAAATTAACATAAACTTTTCAAGGTAAAACAGCCAATTAACTTTCAAAGGCAAAACAATTAGATTGGCATCAGACTTTGGAAAAGCTCACCTGTAAAGCAAAGGCAACAAGAGAGTGCATTAAAAAAAATCAGTGAAAAGAGTGAAGGCAAGGATTTTTCATTTAACTAAGTGTCTGTCAACTACTAAGGCTATAGCAAAACAATTCTCAGCATATGAGAACTTTGGAAATTCAGTCCCTATCACCTCTTTTAGAGGAATCTCTAGAGCAGCGACTTTCAACTTGTTTCACCTCGAGGCGGAGATAAACTGATTACTAAAATTCTGTGGTACATGGCCCTGGCCAGGTAGCACAGTTGGTTAACCAGCTGGTTATAGAGCATCGTCCCAATAGGCCAAGGTTGTGAGCTTGATCCCCAGTCAGGGCACATATAAGAATCAACCAATGAATGCATGAATAAGTGGAATGACAAACTGATGTCTCTGTGTGTAAGTGGGAGTTAGTATACATATATGCCTAGTTCTGCCCGCTGAGAGGTTTAAGGAGCAATTTCATCCTAGTAGCATTGAGCAAACCTAGCACCCAGATGTTGGTTTGTAAACACCATCCTCCAATACGGGGAGCTAGGCATTCTCAGAGAAATGGTTGGTTACAGGATTGGAGCAGGGAATATTCAAGATAATCCTGGACTACCCTGTGGAAAAAAGGAAAGTGGGAAAAAAATGTCAAAAGGACACAAAACTCAAAGTAAATAAGCTTGAAAAGCCAAAACTGGTTGAATTTTAGGAACAAAATATTTAATAATAGTGTTGGATTATTGTCTGTAGATTAAACTAAATATTTATGAGTCCATATGAATGTAAATAAATAAGTGGGGATAAGGGATAACCCTTTTTTATGAGAATTTAAATTGATATGTAGAAGGAATGATGGAAAAATAAACAGCACATTAGGCAATCATCTCAGTAAAAATTATTGCAAGAGAAATGCTAAAATCAGTGGGTAAAAGTTTAAAAAGAAATGACATTAATACAGTCCAAAATACCTCTACTAAGATAGTTATCAATTACAAAGAGAAAAATACCATTAAATACACACAAATTCGCTCAATAGTAAAGTAGGCAGAAGACTTGAACAGACTTTCAAAGAATTGGATGTATTACTGGTTCATAGAGATACAAAAAGATGTTTAATTTCTTTAGTAACAATTCAGATGAAGTATTAAACTTAAATAAGGACATTTAACACTTATCAGCCTGGCAAAAATGAAGTTAGCTATACAAGCATTGGAAAAGGTATGGATAAATGGAAATCTCACTTACTGTTAAGGGGAGTGTTTACTGGTCGAGCTTCGGCAAAAACAGTTTAGCCTGAGATGGTAAAGGTAAAATTCACATTTAGGACTACTGGAAGAATTCTTGCATATGACCATTATAAGACATGCACAAAAAATGCTTATAGTTGCATAGGTCTGAAAAATCAAGAACCAGAAAAATTCCTAATGTTCACCAACTAAGAAATGTATGCAGTTTCGTGAATTTATACCATGCCTCCTAGCTGTACACATGATGAAATGAAAGCTACAAGTGCCAACACAGATCTTAAACCTTAAATATTGAGTGACAGAACCCTTAAAAATTTATTTATTTATTTATTTATGTATTCTAAAAGAAAGGGAGGGAAAGAAATGTCAATGTGTGGTTACCTCTCACAAGCCACCTACTGGGGACCTAACCTGCAACCCAGGCTTGTGTCCTGACTTGGAATTGAACCAGCCACCTTTTGGTTCTCAGGCCGACACTTAATCCACTGAACCACACCAGCCAGGGCTATTGAGTAAAACAATCTATAAAACTTGAGTGAAAGAAGCATATCATGTAAGCATGCATACTGCATGATTTTGTTTATGTAAAGCTAAAAAAAAGGGACAAAGCTAAATAATAAATTGTTTTTTGATTCACATATATGAAGTAATTCTATTAGAAAGAAGGAATGATTAATAAATTCAGGATGGCGGTTACCCTTGGAGAAAGGGGAGAGCTAACCAGGGAGGGGCACCAGGGAGGGGCACCAGGGGCCCTCTAATACATTAGCATCACTTATTTCTCTATACACATTCCACACAAAATATATATATATATATAATATTTTATATACTATTTGGTTTGTATGAGGCAGAATAAAACATTTTTTAAGGAAGGAAAAATACTGCTCGAAAAATATTAGTTTATCAATAATCTCTGTTCTTATAGAGCGCTCTTCGTAGCTTAGGGATAAATACATACAGTCTCTCCCTCATTTGTTAAAATGACCTGGGGTTTTTGAAAAAACATTTTACTGTTTAACAATGGGGTCATGGGTTTGAAGGCTGTTTGTCTGATTAAGAAGAAAAGTGAAGACAGTGACTTGGCTCCGACCCCACCCCACACTTACGTTACTGAAGAACACCAGTCCACACGCGGCCGTCTGCCGGGCAGTGTGCCGCGGGGGCAGGGGAGGGAACCCGCGTGCCTTCCGAGACTTATCTCTCTGACACTCTGGCCCAGAGAAGAGGGCCAGAAATATAGTACTATCCACGGAGACAACATTTTCCCACAGCCTGTCTCAAATCTCACAGCCCTTGTTTTAAGTTGATGATATCAGTCCCATTCCCAGTGGGCAATTGTTCACGTCATTCAAACAGAATCTCAGGAGGTGAGCCCATGAACCAAAAAACGTACTGAAGCTATTGGGTCATTAAGAGTGGAGAATATATAAAGAAAGGCGAAGATTCTTTGCAAATCACTTTGCAAATCATTTGACCATGTGCTCGAAGGAGGAAAGGCAAAGAGGGTCTGCTTTTAATTTTTTTGCTTTCCCAGAAACAGGTGCAATCCTCTTTTAAAATGCCTATGTTCTTTTCTTTCTTTTTTCCCTTCCTCTCTCTTTGCTTTATTCTTTCCATTAAAAAATCTCTTAATATTCTTAGTTACAGACCAATTGTGCAGGGACAATTAAGATTAAAAATTAAGCAGAGTGATTATGGATTTGTGTTTTTGTTTTTCCTTTTGCTTCCAATACCAGTCAGGACAGGCTGGTGTGAGAAGAAATCTGTTTTCACTACCACTTGCATCAGGAGAGAAACAGAGTAAGCAAAACACATCTTGTATATCCTAACCGGTGCCTCTTGGGAAGAAAGCTTTCTATCAAATACCTTTCTTAAGCAGTAAGGACATGTTAAGTGAGTGAAGAACTTGAGGAAATGACAAATGGAAATGCAACATGGTCTGTTTTGTTGCGTGAGGCTTCAGTCCTACAAGCACGAATGTGGCTGTGTGTTCTCTGCACCCCTGGCCTGCATTTCTGCGCAGCACAAAGTGGAGGGCGCATTTGACAAGGGTTTAGGGTCGTTGGGCACTACAGTGAATGGTTGGGCTTAGGGCTTTCTGTTTGGTCCTGTAAGTAAACAAGACCATCCGTATTCTAAATTCCAGAACTTCCTGTTCTGTGTTTTGGAAATAGAATTTTCTGGAATTTCTGTTATAGGTAGTGAAATAAATAATCCTTCACGGTTGCCAAATGAATAGCAAATGAAGTATTAATACTTATTTTTTAATGAACTTCCATGCTAAATAAAAAAATCCATCGTAATTCCACTATTCTTCTTTTGAAAAATTTGTATATATTGAAATTTCCTAGGTATTTTTGACCTAAAAAACAAGTATCCATGTAAAACCTGATTGGTTCTCCAACACCATACATGGGATTCCAGAGATTCAAAAACAGTGGTTATCAGGATAGGAAGGTACCTCTGCAAAAATATATTCTACTATTGGCTTGAAAATTTTACCCATCAGGATGTGTTTCTAGACAACTACTGTTAAAAATACGAATTACCTTGGGCCAGTAAGACATTAAGCGTAGACATGTATATTAGCAATCTAGTGTGGATTTTTTTCTCTAAGGAGCCACAGTGAGGGGAAAAAATGGGAGTAAATGAGCATTCTACCATGGGATAGGAGAGAATTAGTACACACTGCAGTGAGAGCCCTCCAGCTAGCTACTTTCCTTTTAGATCCTTTGTTATTCTTCTTTCAGGGTGTTCCATTTTAACACAGGATCAAACTTCTAAATTAAAAGGATTAAGCTCTTATTGGGGGGATTTCAGGCTTCACCCAGTGGGTGACAGAGTTATCTGGGGAGACACTGAGGCTTTTCATGCCCCTAAACTCACGTGGAGACAGAGGCAGCTGCTTACGGCAGCTAGGAGGGGGACTGGCTACAAGCCTGAGATGCATCATCTCGGGCTGCGGTCTCTGCAGGCAGTTTTCATATGAGTTCCAAGTTGAAATAGGGAATGAGCCCCGAAAGTAAACACTTTGAACCACCATATCCATTTTCGTATATAATCTAGTATATCTGATAAGAGTCTGATTAAATTATTTTCCCCTTAAGGAAGATTGCCACTTGAAAATAGAGAGGAGGAAGGGCAAGAGCTCCGAAGAGGAAGACAAAGCTGAGACCGGCTCTCACACTAGCTGTGTGACTTTGATTTCATCGCAGAGCCTCTCTGAGCCTCAGTTTCCATTCCAGTAAAGTGGGAACAGTCATACCTATTGTGTTGGTGTGTCCTAACATGTACTAGAAAACACTGCATGAGAGAGCAGAGTGGTTGTAACAGACGGAATTCTAGTGTTTAAAAAAGGAACGAATAACATGGGCAGTGCCTTGCTCAGGATGGGCCAACAATGAGTGCGGCACAGGTCATGGGAGGTCACCCCGGATCAACTGCTGAGCATCTTCAAGTAACTATTGATCAAAAAATACGTTAAAGGAATTCTTTTGTATTGATGCTATCCTCAACTAAAACACAATGTTAAGGAGAAATAGATTCTTCAAGGAAATTCTCAATCCCATCTGCATTGTCTGTACATTTGACCCTTGTTACTTGTCACTAATGTTGCAATATTGATAGCATTTTTATTTCCTGAGTTGGCATTTGTATAATTATTTTTCTTACAATAAAGTATGTGGATAAATCTGCGCTACTTTCATTAAGAACCATGGGGTATGTGCAAGAACACTGCATGTGAGGTTATCATTGATATTCCAACATTAAACCTAGTCCTGTTAGCAAATATATATTTTTTAATGACAAAGGCCTCCTGCTTAATTACACTCATAGGTATACCATAAGTTACAATGAAAGTGAAATTGGTGGGTAAGATGGTATTTATAGGGGTTTTGTCCTATCAAAAACTTAGTTGCTTTGCTGAATTATGTTATCCTCCCATCTGCCCTACCCCCAGTCCAGTTCAGGTCCATGTTTAATTGCATTACACTTCTAGGCTTCCTCAAAACTTCTGTAATAAATACTCACTCAGCACTTATTTGCGTAAGTCCCAAAGCAGGTATCTTCTCCTGCCGTGACCTTGTGACACCATGAACATTGTCCTCCTGTAGCTGCTACACACTTCTGCCAGCAAGCATGGACCTTCTCTGCCTGAGCCCCTGCCGGTCCCCCTGGGGGCCAAGGTCTCCAGAGCCCTGTGGGAAACTGAAATACACAAACGGATAATGGTCAGACCGTGCATAAATAGAACTCTGCCCCACAACCTGCAGCAACCCGCCCAGAAACCCGGTCATCTCCAGTAACCAGCCTACTACCATTTATGTCAGACTCGTAGGAAGTCAGACACTATTTCTAACAACCAGCCCACAACACCCCACCCCGAAACAACCCTGGAACAGTCAATCCCAAATGGCCAGGACTTGATTAATAACTGACAGCTTTCCTGATTTTTGCCTCTGCTTCAAAATTAGGACCAACCAGAAAAAGCCAGTAAGTATCCATAACCACAGGATGCCCACATAGGATGCCTACCCAGGATGCCCTGCTTCAGTGAGCCAAATCCAGCTATCTGTACCAACAGCCCCCAAACCAGGCACACCCGAAGCCTTCCCTCTTTTCCACTATAAAGCTTTCCCACTCCAGTGTCTACCTTCGAGTCTCTGCCGAAATACAAGTGACAGGGGCGAACCCCTTTGCTCTATCAAGTCTGAATGAATAGCCTTTGCCTTTTCTCATCTGGTTGGCCTTTGTTTATTTCCACACCTGGCTCTGGGCATGGGGCAGCACGGTTTGTTGCAGCTGCTGCTTGCATCAGTGCCATGCCTGATGAGAGATGCTACTGCTCAGTGCCAGGTGTTCGGCTCCTCCGCCCAGTGTTACTGCACACAGGTTGGCTGCTTCTTGTCAGCTCTGTTCATCTGCCCAGAGATCAGGCTCTGTCAACCCCCTGAAATACAAAGAGTTTGTTCTCTCTCTCTCTCTCATTGTCCTGCTTGATGGCCTATTTGGTAGGGTTTAGATGTTAGACGCCCCATGTCTATTGAGCTTTCTTTGGGACTGGAGGTGGTACGGTGGGAGGGCACCTCCCCTTAACAAGGCAGTCAAGGCCCCCCTTTTTTTTCTTGCAAAAGCGGAGAAGTACAAGTGATCTGTCAAACATATCATCTTACTACAATTAATTGAATTTCATCAAACCTCAAAACAAATAACACCCAGAACTATCAGAAAACCAAACTGAATGGAAGTCTGACAACCAAAGGTTTACAGAAGCCACATTCATCCAGATGGGTGGGAGGGGCAGAGAGGCAGCAGCAGTGGTGGAACAGGCGGTCCCACATTCACATGTGGGGGATAAAAACTGGGAGGGATACCTTGGGAGCCAGTGATCCCAGCCCCAGGCCAGACCTCACAGGCCAGGGTTCCAGCGCCAGGAAGATGAAGCCTTATAACTTTTGGCTATAAAATTGGTGGGGGTTGGGGTGTCAGAAGAAACTGCTGGTTTTTCAGGAAAGTCCGTTTAAAGGAACTGCATGGACTTAGAACATATGCAAACCCTCCCATGCTGGGATTCACCACCAAGGCAACAGCTACCACCACATACAGGAAGTGAGCGAAGTGATTGGAAATGGAGTGAGTGCCAGGCAAACCTCCAGAAGCCAGGCATCAGCATTGTCCCCTCTCTGACACCCCTCTCTGACTCCTCCAACACAGAGTCACAAAACAGTAAAGTGCATGCGCCACCCAGGCAAATACCCGAGGCTCTGCCCCATACAACTTAACAGGCACTCTAAGGGAGTCAAAGCAGCTCTACCTAGTACACAGAAACAAACACAGGGAGGCTGACAAATTGAGGAGACAAAGATATATGGCCCAAGTGAAAGAACAGAGTAAAACCCCAGAAAAAGAACTAAATGAAATGGAGATAGCCAACCTGTCATATCCAGAGTTCAAAACACTGGTGATCAGGATGCTCAGAGAACTCATTGAGTATGACAACAACATAAAGGAAGAAACGAAGTTTCCACTAAGTGAAATAAAGAAAAATCCGCAGGGAATCAACAGTAAAGGGGAGGAAGCCAGGATTCAAATCAATGATTTGGAACATGAAGAAATAAGCATTCAACCAGAACAGAAGAAACAAGAATCTAAAAACATAACGATGATATAAGAAGCCTTCGAGACATCTCCAGACATGCCAATATCTGAATCATAGGGGTGCCAGAGGGAGAAGAGCAAAAGCAAGAAATTGAAAATTTATTTCAAAAAATAAAGAAAACTTTCCTAATTTGGCAAAGGAAATAGACATACAAGTCCAGGAAGCAGAGAGAGTCCCAAACAAGTTGGACCCAAAGAGGACCACACCAAGACACATCATAATTAAAATGCCAAAGGTTAAAGATGAAGAGAAAATCTTAAAAGCAGCAAGAGAAAAGCAGAGAGTTACCTACAAAGGAGTTCCCGTAAGACTAGTAGCTGATCTCTCATAAGAAACTTTGCAGACAAGAAGGGACTGGCAAGAAGTATTCAAAGTGTTGAAAAGCAACAACCTACAACCTGGGTTACTCTATCCAGCAAAGCTATCATTTAGAATGGAAGGGCAGATAAAGTGCTTCCCAGACAAGGTAAAGCTTAAAGGAGTTCATTATCATCAAGCCATTATTACGTGAAATGTTAAAGGGACTTATTTAAGAAAAAGAAGATCAAAATTATGAACATTAAAATGACAACACACTCACAACTATCAACAAGTGTATCTAAAACAAGACAAAACAAAACAAAACAACCAGAATAGGAACAGTATAATAATATGGTGATTATCTGGAGAGTTATCAGCTGGGAGGGAAAGGGAAGAATCAGGGAATGGGTGCAGGGATTAAGAAGCTTAATTGGTAGGTGCAAAATAGGGTGATGTTAAGAACAGTATAGGAAATGGAGAAGCCAAAGAACATATGCATGACCCATGGGCATGAACTAAGGGGGTGGGGAATTGCTGGAAGGAAGGGGGCCACTGGGCAGAGGGGGGCAAACAGGGGAAATCAGGACAACTGTAAAGCATAATCAATAAAATATACTTAAAAAAAGCAGCTTACCTGCTGTATGACAGGCATTCATACATTTACACATAACTCGGTGATCCTTCTTTCTGCCACTCCTCCCACTGCCTCAGCCCCAGTTTATCCTCTTGTGGCTCCTTTGAGGTTTTCGAGGCTGGAAAACACTAGCTCATTGTTTTAGGTTAAAACAATCAGTTTTCCACCGTCAAGTACGTGCTTCATTTGTGGTGAATTGTGTTCTCCAGCTTTATTTATTTATTTATTTAGATTATTTCATGGTGTTCTGCATATACAATACTTCATTGTTTCTAGACTGCTTTCTAGTGTAATCCCTATGTAAACATGTTAAATGAAACATGCTAAAACCGACCATTTGTTGTGCAATCAGTGCAAATAACCTTGGTGACTTGGTGATTTGACAAGCAGATGCCTTCTACCCTAGGCTAAGTTCACATGCGTATTTACAGGTGATGACAATGTTGTCACAGCTGACTTCTCTGGAGCTTTCCTTCGATGTTGACGTTAAGACGCATCCTGGCTTCAGAAACATTGAAATATGGAAAAATGCATCTTATCATTGAGCAATACGATCACTGCAAAATGAGTCAAGTTCCATTCCTTCCTAATTCAAAAAGCCAGCCAGGTTTTACCACCTGGGTGGGTGAACACTTGAAAAAGACACCATTTCTAAAGGCTTATGACAAAAGCCAGAAGCCTGAAAAGACAAAAAGTAATCCCTCCTTTTCTCTCTTTTTTAAATCCTCACCCAAGGACATGCTTATTGATTTTAGAGAGAGGGACAAGGAGGGAGAGGGAGAGGGAGAGAAACATAGGTGCCCCCAACTGGGGAGTAAACCCACAGCCTAGATATGGTCCCTGACTGGGAATCAAGCCTCAGACCTTTTGGTGTACAGGACCATACTCCAACCCACTGAGCCACACCAGCAAGGGCAAGTCCCCTCTTTCTCTTACCCTTCAAAGCTAGTTTGTTGGCAAGCCTATCATTCTACCTCTGAAACATATCTCAGCTCTGTTCTGCTGCTGCTTCCATTTTCCAAGACACCATCCACTCGTTCCTGGGCCACTGCAATGCCTCTGTGCATTTGTCTTTCCCTCTATTCCCTACAGCACACAGATGATCTTTTAACAGATGTGTTTGAGTCGCCTTGCTAGGGAAGGCCACACCTGTGATGTCTCACTTCTAGGCCAAGGTATTGATCAGTGCTGTGTCTTTGTTCCCTGTCCCCTCCCACCACTGAATGCAGGTAATGACATGGTTCTGAGCAATGGTGGAACCTCATCAAAGACAGAGCCCAGGTTCTCAGCTCCCTGTAGTGGAGAGCTCTCTGTTCTCCTGGAACACCCTGGGCTGTTGGGTTGAACTACTGAATTGTCGTGTTTGTATATTATAACCGCTAGTGTAATTGATACAGGAAGTGCATTCTGGGGTTAAAATGGAAGACAGCAGCACTTCTGCTTAAAATTTACGTTGGAAGATCTCTAATCATATCATAACTAAATATATTATGACATAAATTATTTGGTGCCCAAACAGAAGTCAAGACCAGTTGTGCAATCTAATGATCAGTGATGGGGGCTAATAACCACCAAAGATCAAAACACCTATCAGCTTTAACAGAATAAAATTTCCTAGTATGTAAGTCAGTTTGGAGACTTGCTTTTCCCCATTTTCTTTATTAAAAAATATTTTATTGTTTATGCTATTCCAGTTGTCCCACTTTTTCCCTCTTCACCCCCATCCACCCAGCCCACCCCCACTTCCATAGTCCGTCTCCACAGTGTCGTCCATGTCTACGGGTTCTTCACACGATGAGGTCTGCCCAGAGGTGTCCTGCCATTTAATATGAAAAACAGAGACATTAAGTGAAGAAGATACAAGCTGCAAAAAATATTGGAAATAGGACAATGATGCCTCCATCTCCTTCAAAGTAGCACCTTGGGACCTCACGCAGTTCTCCCAATTGCCATCAACTGCCCTGTCATATTTTCCTGAATCTCATTGATGGTTTGAAATCTCTTCCCTTTCAAAGGTGATTTTAGTTTTAGGAGAAGCCAGAAGTCACAAGGCACCAAATCTGG